ACTTGATGCGGTTGATCTTGAGTCAGAGAGCCAAAATGTAAACAGAAAATCTATAAAAGCAGATGCAGCCCGTTAGAATATTTTGAGTTATAACAAAAATAAGCAGGACGAATTTCTTGGTCAATATATAACAGTATAACAATATGGGGGATGAGTAACAGCTAAACCATCGATTAAACCAAAATCAAAACCTTGGTAAAGCCTCACAACTGACAGATGTATATATTCCATTAAACACCTAATAACAAAAGAATCCTCAAATCGGTAAACAACCTGAATGATTATGGGTACCATCATAGGCTGAAAACTCGAGACAAATTATGTACAGTTATATATATATATATATGAACAAATTATGTATAGATTTTTTACTAATAGCGTAAACCAATCGTTTTACCTGTGCCCGCTATCGTCGTACGTAGACTTCCATAAAATATGTGCTTGCTGAAGGCAAATTATTTTAGTTGTATGCTCCATTGCTGTAGGTAACTGTTGGTATTCCCCAACTCGCCAACTGAATCTATTGTTGGTGACTGTCTAAGTGTATCTCCTACAAAGTGTACTCCAGCTACCAGCTAGTCTTGTTGTAGTTAAATATCGACGTAAAGTGCGTACATTAGCCTGCATTAGCAATTATTGCAGTGGGTGGTGTGTGTCTCGCCTCGTGTATCTGTTTAGAATTGCAGCACTATCGATGTGAATGTCGTGTGTTCTATGTTCCATTCCACCTGTCCTGTAGGTTACTGTCGTAGCTATGTCGTACGTCGTATGTTCGGTCGATACTGTAGCTACCATAATTGGCGGTGTTGTCTGGCGATCGCCCAGCAGTCTCCAGTAAACACTAAACCTCCACGTCCGTGTTATAGCGGAGATGTATCAAATTACTCGGCCGCCGTCGATGCAGTTTTCAAATGAATGCCGCCACGTCTCGTACTGTTTACGATCACTGTTGCGGTTTTTATGAGTATATCAATTGTTGGCCTGGAGATTGTTACATTCCAGATACACTGTAGAACTGCATCAGCTCAAAGCATTTAACCAAACGTGTTCGATACAGCGAGCAAGGAATACCACATGAATGGTATTCCTTGCTCGCTGGTTCGATACGATTAAAAAAATAACATTCTTAGCTTATTTTGGACACATTTGATTAAACGATAAACTTTTAAATATTTTTAAATAAAAAAAATACTTTTCAATGAAATGGCGACCATACAAACCAAACCAACAACGACGATTACCTAAACCAACAATATTATTACAACTCCCGGTCTAGCCTACTTTTCGCTGCTGCTATGCGACCACGGTCCACGGTCCATGAGATGAAGACGACGACTGATGAGAGTCTATAGTTATCCCATATATATAGTTCTCCCACGGTTGGCGGGAAGTGGAACGCTACGTATGACGTCACAGTCAGCTGTTTCAAGGTAAGATGAGTCACAGGTTGTGTGTCGAGGCTAGTGATAGCAAGAGCATAACACTGAACACACCACTACACGGTCACCACTGCTGACTGTGACTGCAGTTGTTGAGTAGTATACGCCACTGCTGGGCTAGGTGCACGTTGTTATAAGAAAACTACATAGATTTAACAACGATTGGTATACAACCGTCGTAATAGCAACGTCAAACCAACTTTGCACGAACCAAACCAAGTACAAGTATTTACGATTTTAAATGTTTTCCTACTTTTTTCTCATTTTATGTGCATGAATAGATTGGAATGTTTTTAATACGATGAAAGCTATATAGGAGGATTAAATAATCCTCCTAGGATGAATGAAATAATGCATGTATTCTACACTTATAAATCAGGTAAAAAAATATAGCATATATTTAATAATTACTTTAACTATTCAGTATATTTGACACACTATACCTTGAAGGTCGCAACGCATAGTTTTCTTGTGTGGCTATCTGTAACACTATTCAATACTCAAACTTCTGTATTGTTCTTGTTAATTCCGAGTTCAGCTTCAAGTATTCTTTCTTCTGACAATATTATACAAGTCTATGTTTTATATAAACAAGCAATTATCATAGCTGCATTTTGTGTTATGTACTTGTTTTGGGGTAGTGGATTTTTATCCCCCTGGAATTTTATCCCCTGGTCAAACGTGACGTCACAAACCAGGGGGTAAAATTCCGGCCGCGAACTTTTGAGTTTCGCGACATCAGCTCGATGGATTAAACGCGGAATTAAACAGTTAATATTTTCACGGTTGTAAATTTAATCAGATTAACACATCAAATTATAAAAACCTAGAATGTATGGCCTGGATTTTTAACCCCGGAATTTTACCCCCCGGATTTTCCCCCCCGGAATTTTACCCCCCGGATTTTTACCCCCGGAATTTTACCCCCTGGCCAGATATATAAATTAGGGAGAATGATTAATTATCTTCATTCAGTTTTAATTTAATAGTAAACATTTTATTATTAAGTAGCCTATCTGAATTTATTTGTAACATTAACTAATCGAACAGGTTTTTAATTTTAATTTTGAGATTCGAGTATCAGGATTCGATCTTTGAAGCCAACTGTTGGTTAATAATTATGATCTGTTTACTTAGTTGAGATTACAAAATAAATAAATAAAGATAGGCTACTAAATAATGAAATGTTTACAATTAATTAAAAACAGAAATAAAAAAATCAATAATTCAATTTCAAAAATCGGCCAGGGGGAAAAATTCCGGGGGGTAAAAATCCGGGGGTAAAATTCCGGGGGTAAAAATCCGGCCCGTACATCTTCAGTTGTCTAAACGCTAGTTATATGGACAGGGCGTAAAATTCCTGTTCTTATCGCTAATCTAATTAATCACGCTCTGACTATTTTAATTAGAATTCCAAATCCGCGGGGGTAAAATTCCGGCCGCGAACAAACTTTTGGCCACTCAGGTTACTACGTCATGGTGACGTGAGCTTTGCCCAGGGGGTAAAATTCCAGGGGGATAAAATTCCGGCGACCCCTTGTTTTTTACTGTTTTTTATATTTATTCGCCCTCATCATTTACGAATGGAGTCATTCATCCATTGCTACACTGTGTCATACAATATTCTTAAATGTAACTAATTTCCAAAGGGAAGGTTGTCAATAGCTTTTAGTACTTCGAAACCAATTTCAGACGTTGAAGATGACAAATTGAAGATGGCGTTGTAAAAAGTGTGTACGATTTACACATGAAACGTGTAGGATCTTCTAAACATTCACTTTTCGTACGGCCTAGTCATAACCACGTGCACGTGCACGTGCACGTCACGTCGGTTTAGGCAAAGCCAAGACAAAAGAATGTTCCAACGAGACCAGACCACATAGCACGACGAGAGGAACCGCACGACAGTTTAGTGACGACCACTAATAAGTAGAGCGTGCCTGAAAACATAGCGCAATCCGAGCGTGCGCGCTGTACAAGAAATTGGACTGGGAAAATAACCGTATCTGTCCTTGGTTCGCCTAGTACCTGTTATTTGTCTATTTAACTCTTGCACGTATTTTAGTAGTATTGTTACGCAATCATCAAATGGGGGAAACTACTTTATGCAATTGTTTAAGATGGTACTTTGAAAGGAATATAACTTAACCTATTCTCTCAACCTCTCCATATATCGGTTGATTGGTGATGAACAAGGAACCCTTTTCAATGCTAGTGCAAATACTAGCTTGAACAATCCAATTGTTCGTGAAAGTATATGAAATGCACAGGTAGGTCTGAATGAACCACTTTTCGTCACATTTTCCAACCCTATGTGGGAAAATAAGCTTCCCTGAAGTACAGAAGTCTGGTTACACTGTCTGGGAGAAATCGAACGGACGGACGAAAAAGGAGATACAAAACAAACAAGAAATGAGAAGAGAAGGAAGAAGAGTGATCAAAGTGGCACATGTTCCGAGAATGGATACTCGTACAGTTGTGCTTCGCATACCAACGGTGGTTTTGCTTTCAAGAAGGTCGCACGTACGAACGATCCTACTGCTTTACTTTCAACTAAATGTCTATTTTTGTGCATCCAGTAATCGTTTTACTCCATCGTTGAATCCAGATACGATTGATACCTTATTAGGTTCTCGTACAAGGATCTTGACTTTGTACACTGATATATGACACTGAATGGGGTGTTGAAAACAGTCGTAGTTTTACCATACACTACAGTCAAATAGTAGTCTACACTGTATTTATTTCAAAGATACGAGTAGTTGTGCCCTCAAAAATCTTCCAAAATTATGCATTGGTTTAGTAACATTTAAATCATCAACTTATTTCTGTTAAATAATGTTAACCGAAGTACATCACAGATAAGTGAGGGAACCATTATGCATTTTTACAAATGCAATAGACACCACTAAGCAAATGTAATCTGGAGGTTGGTATGCACATAATTTAAGTGTCAATAATCAAGAAATTGTTCTGCAAACAGAAAAATAACCCTTTCCTGTGTAAATAACATCGCAAAGTCCATGGAGTGGTTCAGACGCAGCGGGACACCGCGTAAACAACAGTGTTTAGACTACGTTCTGGCGGTATTGACGATAAACATGTTTGCTATCTGTGGGGCATCGCAACTACTATTGTTACCTGTTGTTGGTACTGGACCTCCCCAGAAGATGGCTCTACAGATACCCACGCTAGAAACATCAGAGTTCCTACTCTACAGCCTTGCGGCAGTCCTCGCGACCTTTCCCGCATAGTGAACGTGTCAGAAATCTTCCGCCCCCTGCATATCCCAGCTGTTACGCGTGTACATGCTGCATACAATTATCAAACTACTTGAGGGCATGCATGGATTAAATGAAAACTGAGAAGGTTGAATGGCACGTTCTAACGGACAAATAAAAGGGAGTGACCAATAATTAGAAAACATACATCAGGATACTGATTCCAATTGGACATACGCGTTTCTTAAATCCAGGGTTTACTAATAATCCGAACGGAAAGAAATTTGAAACAAGATTTCGAAGGTTCTTATAAGACAAAAATCAAAGTGGCAACACTCACCTCATCAGAGATATCTCCAAGGTGTTGTACATCTTCAGTTTCCAATCGCTCTTCCTTCTCCTCCCGAGATTTGACGGTTCGTTCCTTGACTTCCTTTACGACTCCACCTTGTCCCGGCACTGCTACCCACCCCTCCTTCCCCGTCCTGTCACCCCCGTCACCATCGACATCGTCATCCCCCAGCTGACGGTGCTGAAACGCAGATAACGGGTCTTACACGATAGCTACATCAAACATTATATTATTCACTACAGATGCATCAGTGCAATAATCGTATGACTCAGTTCTAAGAATACTTAAATAAATAAGGTAAAAAAGTACAAAGTAATACATAGTCACTAGAAAGATATCTACAACTAAAAATCTAGTGCTAAATCTAGTACCACACTATTTTTACACAAATTGTACAAAACTAAAATTGTTATTGGTAAAAAAAAAACATAATCGGAAACATTAGCTTTTCATTAAATATTTTTCCCTCCTAAGCTACACTAATGAAATCAGTACACTATCCCTTAAACACTGCAGTACTCTATTTTCGCAATGCAGCTTTATAAGGTATAGTAATTTTATTGTGAGGTGATACTGTCCCGTTATGCAAATGCAGTTTTCAATGTAGTAGATAGAACCAATATGAACGCCTCTTAATTATAGAGGGTGGGTGGTCTTCTAATTTTGTAACTCTGTAATTTAAGGCGACCTGAATGTTGTTTAGTAAACCTGTTAAAAGCAAATAAAATTATCTTCGCTTGTGCAATTAATGTCCATTATAATGAAAATCACTCCGTTCGATGGGAGTGCAATTAAAAAGTACATAAATCTATTGCTATAATACAGGTTGGCTTCCTACCATTTCCACGGACTATGACCAACATTGACATTGGTGTCCTCATTATGCTCTGAATCTCCTTTATTGGGCTAGTGTTATACTATTACCTCAATTTGACAGGACTCTTGTTTCTCTGTGTCCTCAGTTGTGTTAGTGATGACGATAGGTCCAGTATCCTCTGAATCTCGTATATTGGGTTAGTGTTATACAATTACCTCAGGTTTGACAGGACTCTTGTTTCTCTGTGTCCTCAGTTGTGTTAGTGATGACGATAGGTCCAGTATCCTCTGAATCTCGTATATTGGGTTAGTGTTATACAATTACCTCAGGTTTGACAGGACTCTTGTTTCTCTGTGTCCTCAGTTGTGTTAGTGATGACGATAGGTCCAGTATCCTCTGAATCTCGTATATTGGGTTAGTGTTATACAATTACCTCAGGTTTGACAGGACTCTTGTTTCTCTGTGTCCTCAGTTGTGTTAGTGATGACGATAGGTCCAGTATCCTCTGAATCTCGTATATTGGGTTAGTGTTATACAATTACCTCAGGTTTGACAGGACTCTTGTTTCTCTGTGTCCTCAGTTGTGTTGGTGGTGACGAAGGTCCAGTATCCTCTGAATCTCGTATATTGGGTTAGTGTTATACAATTACCTCAGGTTTGACAGGACTCTTGTTTCTCTGTGTCCTCAGTTGTGTTGGTGGTGACGATAGGTCGAGTATCCTCTGAATCTCGTATATTGGGTTAGGGTTATACAATTACCTCAGGTTTGACAGGACTCTTGTTTCTCTGTGTCCTCAGTTGTGTTAGTGATGACGATAGGTCCAGTATCCTCTGAATCTCCTATATTGGGTTAGTGTTATACAATTACCTCAGTTTGACAGGACTCTTGTTTCTCTGTGTCCTCAGACGTGTTGGTGGTGACGATAGGTCGAGTATCCTCTGAATCTCGTATATTGGGTTAGTGTTATACAATTACCTCAGGTTTGACAGGACTCTTGTTTCTCTGTGTCCTCAGTTGTGATGGTGGTGACGATAGGTCGAGTATCCTCTGAATCTCGTATATTGGGTTAGTGTTATACAATTACCTCAGGTTTGACAGGACTCTTGTTTCTCTGTGTCCTCAGTTGTGATGGTGGTGACGAAAGGTCCAGTATCCTCTGAATCTCCTATATTGGGCTAGTGTTATAAAATTACCTCAGATCGGCAGGACTCTTGTTTCTCTGTGTCCTCAGTTGTGTTGGTGGTGACGATAGGTCCAGTGTCATCTGAATCTCCTATATTGGGCTAGTGTTATACAATTACCTCAGATCGGCAGGACTCTTGTTTCTCTGTGTCCTCAGTTGTGTTGGTGGTGACGATAGGTCCAGTATCCTCTGAATCTCGTATATTGGGTTAGTGTTATACAATTACCTCAGGTTTGACAGGACTCTTGTTTCTCTGTGTCCTCAGTTGTGTTAGTGATGACGATAGGTCCAGTATCCTCTGAATCTCCTATATTGGGTTAGGGTTATACAATTACCTCAGGTTTGACAGGACTCTTGTTTCTCTGTGTCCTCAGTTGTGTTAGTGATGACGATAGGTCCAGTATCCTCTGAATCTCCTATATTGGGTTAGGGTTATACAATTACCTCAGGTTTGACAGGACTCTTGTTTCTCTGTGTCCTCAGTTGTGTTAGTGATGACGATAGGTCCAGTATCCTCTGAATCTCGTATATTGGGTTAGGGTTATACAATTACCTCAGGTTTGACAGGACTCTTGTTTCTCTGTGTCCTCAGTTGTGTTAGTGATGACGATAGGTCCAGTATCCTCTGAATCTCCTATATTGGGTTAGGGTTATACAATTACCTCAGGTTTGACAGGACTCTTGTTTCTCTGTGTCCTCAGTTGTGTTAGTGATGACGATAGGTCCAGTATCCTCTGAATCTCGTATATTGGGTTAGGGTTATACAATTACCTCAGGTTTGACAGGACTCTTGTTTCTCTGTGTCCTCAGTTGTGTTGGTGGTGACGATAGGTCGAGTATCCTCTGAATCTCGTATATTGGGTTAGTGTTATACAATTACCTCAGGTTTGACAGGACTCTTGTTTCTCTGTGTCCTCAGTTGTGATGGTGGTGACGATAGGTCCAGTATCCTCTGAATCTCCTATATTGGGCTAGTGTTATAAAATTACCTCAGATCGGCAGGACTCTTGTTTCTCTGTGTCCTCAGTTGTGTTGGTGGTGACGATAGGTCCAGTGTCATCTGAATCTCCTATATTGGGCTAGTGTTATACAATTACCTCAGATCGGCAGGACTCTTGTTTCTCTGTGTCCTCAGTTGTGTTGGTGGTGACGATAGGTCCAGTGTCATCTGAATCTCTGTTGTGACTTTGAATTAGAGTTCATAATAAGCACACATTTGAAGAAACTGTTTTATTGAAAATTGTTATGATTAACTATAATAAAGTAAAATGTAAACATTGAAAAACAATTATCATCTGTCTTGACCTTATTTGAATTATTAACTAAATCATATGAAGTCAAGATAGAATAAAAGATATGACAGTCTTCCCCACTAATTAAGAACAATCTTTTTTAATCAAATCTGGTAGTCTCTAAATCTTGAGGGAATGTGACGCTTACGCTGTGGTCTGGCGTTGGTATTATCAGCTTGCTCACGATGTGGTATGACATTCTCAGCTTGAGCTCTTTCTGCTGGAGATTGTTCTTCTGGTTGCCTTGGTTCTGGAGCTGCAACTGGATCTGGATTCCTATGTATTTCTGGTCGTCTTAGAATTCTGGGAACATCAAACAACTGCGTTGGTCCGAATGTAACATTTTTCGTTTTTGGACTCTGTACCAGCGTTGGGCGTAGTTGATTGATCGATTGATGTGCCTCTTCAGGATTCTATCAGATGAGTCGAGAACTACGAGATAGTGTCTTTTCCCAAGCCTCTTCTTTACTTGACCAAACTGCCATATGTTTTTATTATTGATGAAAAGTTTGACCTGTAGACTTGTTTTTTAGATCTTTTACAATTCTTGATAAGTCTGGATCATTTTCTGTTTCACTCCTTATTGTTGAAGCGGTTATGTGTTCATCTGACATCTCGAAAATCATTTGTTCGTATACTTGGTTGACTTCATTGGCAATGATTTCATCAACAGTCGAATTTACTTGCTGAAGTGGAGCTCTTGAGAGGCAGTCAACATTTTCATTTTCCTTGCCAGGTTTGAATTTTAATGTGTAGTTGAACCCGGATAAGTAAGATGCATATCGGAGTAAACGTCCTGATGTCATTTGAGGGAGTGCTTTGTTGTGCTGGAAAATCCGTGAAATGGGTGCATTGTCAGTTACTAGTGTGAAGTGAGTCCCAAAAAGGTAATAGTAGAAATGTGACACGCCAAAAATAATAGCGAGGCTTTCACGGTCTAATTGACTGTAATTTCTTTCAGAAACTGTAAGAGAACGAGAAGCATATGCAATGGGCTTTTCTTCTCCTTCTGTGACATGACTAAGCACGGCTGCAAGTCCTGTAGGGCTGGCGTCTGTAGTTAGTACTAGAGGGAGAGCCGGATCGAAAGGTACGAGAACTCGATCACTGCAGAGCTCTGATTTGATTTGTAAAAATGCTGCTTCACAGGATGAATTCCATTCCCATTTCATATTTTTCTGTAACAGACGTCGCAGAGGATATGTGATAGTTGAAGCATCAGGGATGAAATGTGAGTAGTACGACACAAGTCCGAGTAGACGTTTGACCTCTTCAGTATTGGACGGGCGAGGCATCTGTTGGACTGCTTGAATTTTCGTTGGAGATTTACTAATTTTGTTGAACTCTACGACTCGTCCTAAATACTCAATTTTTTCTTGAAAAAATGAGCATTTGTTTCTGTTGACATGTAAATTGTAATCAGAGAGTCTCTGTAGACAGGCTTGTAAATTTTCACTGCATTCTTCAATGGTCGAACCATGCACAATAATGTCATCAAAATATGCTTCTGTCTTACGTAACCCCTTTAAGATCTGAGAGAGTATGCGGTTGAATTCTGATGGTGCAGTTTTGATGCCAAAACTGAGTCTATGTACTCTATAAGTACCTCTGTGAGTCGTCATTGTCTGTATCATGCTAGATTCTTCATCCACCTGGAGATGTAAATAGGCTTTGTAGAGGTCAAGTTTGCAAAAGTATTTTGAATTGCGCAAACTGTCAATAACATCATCAATACGCCTTATAGGATGATTTGCTTGAATTAGACGCTCGTTGACACCGCATTTGTAATCGACGCAGAGGCGGACACCACCGTCTGGTTTAGGAATGACAACCAGTGGCGATCCCCAATCGCTGGCCTCCACGGGTGAAATGATCCCTTCATTTTCCAGTGTGTCCAATTCCTTGTTCACTCGGTCGGTTAAAGCATGTGGGACATTTCGTTCCTTAACAAAAATAGGTTTTGCACCATTTCGAAGCTGTAATGACACTTTGAAGTCTGGAACGCATCCAATTTTCTCTTCAAAAATGTTGGAAAAAGACTGAAAGATTTCTTCAGGAGACTGGATTCTTTTGATTTGGGAAATTTGAGTGCTTTGATTTGTGTCTTCATTCAATTTGTTCAGTTCGATTCCTAGGGCTCTTATCCATTGACGTCCCAAGAGTGCTTCGTGTCCTGTTGGAACAATGTGGAGTTCCTCTTTGACGCAACGTCCACAGTAAGTAACATTTATTTTCACTTTCCCTTCAGGTTTGATAATATTACCTGAGTAAGTTCTGAAAGCAATGTTAGTTGTTTCCAATGGAATGTCCAATTTGAGTTTGTCGAAATCATTTTTAGCTAGAAGTGAGAATTTTGCTCCTGTGTCTACTTCGAATTGTTGTGGTTTACCATTGAGATTAACTGTGATCATGTATTTGTCTGAATCGTTATTTACTTCAAACAGATCTAGTAACTTCGGGCTTGAATTGACATTAGTTACTTTATTTAGTCCGTAATCAGAAAATTTCGATGTAGACTCTGTAGGAGAACAGCACTGGATGTAGTTGGCTGCACTGGGAGAATTGATTTTCTTCTGTTCTGCGATAAGGGTCGAAATGCACACTTTAGATATGTGTCCTTGCTTGTTACATTTGTTGCACTTGAGCTTAGATTTGTCGGTGCGGCACTCGGATGCTTGGTGATTGTCTTTTCCACACCTGGAGCAAAGATTACCAATTCCAAGAGATTTCAGATCTGGACGTTTTCGAGAGCGTGAGGAGTGACCCTGTTGCTGTCTGGAAGGTCGATTACCGGTTTGGAATTGAGATTTCCTTGCTTTATGTGAAACTTTATTCACATCGTCACATATATTGAAATTTGCATTACTTGAATGTGAACGTTTAGACAGTTCCCTGGATTCAATTTTTGATGCTTCGAGGGCGATTGCTCTGGTAAGGATTCCTTCAAAAGTAGTTTCAGTTGACTGTAGAATTTGTTCTCGTAGCCAGTCATCTCGCAAACCTCGAATAAACTGGGCTCTCAGGAAAACTTCGGCAATTGAAACTGTCTGGTCACATGAACACTTGACAGAAAATTCACACTCAGCAATATCACGTTGTAGGGAAGCTACGAATTCTGTTATTGATTGGTGTTCTTTTTGAAATACATTTAGAAAATAGTGTTGAGATACTACAACGTTCTTCTTAGGAATCAATAACTGCTTGAATGCTGTGATAAGCTCATCATAGTTGAGACTTTTCAATTGTTTCTCGGGGCCTAGAAAAGAATTTCTATTGTTATAATGATCACTGCCGATAGAGATGCACAGTAGCTGTCCAATCTTAGTTGAGTCTGTTAGGCCTTTCATGGTGTAATAGTTTTCAAAACGTTCTAGGTAACATGTAAATTTTTCTTTCTTTGGATCATAGTTTTCAAAAGGAGCCACATTTGAGTAGTTGACCCGAGGTATCTCAGTCTCTTGATCATTCTGTTTTAAGACAGTTTCTAATACTTCTTTAATAAACTTGTTCTGGTTTTCTTGCTGTTGTCTTTGTTGTTCTTGAAAGATAGTAAGGAATTGATTGAACTGATCTGCATTCATTTGGAATACAAAATAATTTGAACACAAATTCTGAAAAATTTAGTAATCTTACATGTAATAATTCTGTTTTTCCTTCGTCGCCAAATAATTGTTGTGACTTTGAATTAGAGTTCATAATAAGCACACATTTGAAGAAACTGTTTTATTGAAAATTGTTATGATTAACTATAATAAAGTAAAATGTAAACATTGAAAAACAATTATCATCTGTCTTGACCTTATTTGAATTATTAACTAAATCATATGAAGTCAAGATAGACTAAAAGATATGACAATCTCCTATATTGGGCTAGTGTTATACAATTACCGCAGTTTGACAGGACTCTTGTTTCTCTGTGTCCTCAGTTGTGTTGGTGATGACGATAGGTCGAGTATCCTCTGAATCTCGTATATTGGGTTAGTGTTATACAATTACCTCAGGTTTGACAGGACTCTTGTTTCTCTGTGTCCTCAGTTGTGATGGTGGTGACGATAGGTCCAGTATCCTCTGAATCTCCTATATTGGGCTAGTGTTATAAAATTACCTCAGATCGGCAAGACTCTTGTTTCTTTGTGTCCTCAGTTGTGTTGGTGGTGACGATAGGTCCAGTATCCTCTGAATCTCCTATATTGGGTTAGTGTTATAAAATTACCTTAGATCGGCAGGACTCTTGTTTCTCTGTGTCCTCAGTTGTGTTGGTGGTGACGATAGGTCCAGTATCCTCTGAATCTCCTATATCGGGCTAGTGTTATAAAATTACCTCAGATCGGCAAGACTCTTGTTTCTTTGTGTCCTCAGTTGTGTTGGTGGTGACGATAGGTCCAGTGTCATCTGAATCTCCTATATTGGGCTAGTGTTATACAATTACCTCAGTTTGACAGGACTCTTGTTTCTCTGTGTCCTCAGTTGTGTTGGTGGTGACGATAGGTCCAGTATCCTCTGAATCTCCTATATTGGGCTAGTGTTATAAAATTACCTCAGATTGGCAGGACTCTTGTTTCTCTGTGTCCTCAGACGTGTTGGTGGTGACGATAGGTCCAGTGTCCTCTGAATCTCCTATATTGGGCTAGTGTATACAATTACCTCAGATTCGCAGGACTCTTGTTTCTCTGTGTCTTCAGACGTGTTGGTGGTGACGATAGGTCCAGTGTCCTCTGAATCTCCTATATTGGGCTAGTGTTATACAATTACCTCAGTTTGACAGGACTCTTGTTTCTCTGTGTCCTCAGACGTGTTGGTGGTGACGATAGGTCCAGTGTCCTCTGAATCTCCTATATTGGGCTAGTGTTATACAATTACCTCAGTTTGACAGGACTCTTGTTTCTCTGTGTCCTCAGTTGTGTTGGTGGTAACGATAGGTCCAGTGTCATCTGAATCTCCTATATTGGGCTAGTGTTATACAATTACCTCAGTTTGACAGGACTCTTGTTTCTCTGTGTCCTCAGACGTGTTGGTGGTGACGATAGGTCCAGTATCCTCTGAATCTCCTATATTGGGCTAGTGTTATACAATTACCTCAGTTTGACAGGACTCTTGTTTCTCTGTGTCCTCAGACGTGTTGGTGGTGACGATAGGTCCAGTATCCTCTGAATCTCCTATATTGGGTTAGTGTTATACAATTACCTCAGTTTGACAGGACTCTTGTTTCTCTGTGTCCTCAGACGTGTTGGTGGTGACGATAGGTCCAGTGTCCTCTGAATCTCCTATATTGGGCTAGTGTTATACAATTACCTCAGTTTGACAGGACTCTTGTTTCTCTGTGTCCTCAGACGTGTTGGTGGTGACGATAGGTCGAGTATCCTCTGAATCTCGTATATTGGGTTAGTGTTATACAATTACCTCAGTTTGACAGGACTCTTGTTTCTCTGTGTCCTCAGTTGTGTTGGTGGTGACGATAGGACCAGTATCCTCCACAACTTTGCCATCCTCCAACACCACCTGCCTTTTCACCCGAGTTTCTATTTGCCTCTTTGTCGTCAGTTCCACCTTTTTCTTCGTCACCCATTCTTCTGCAATTACAAAGATAAAGATAATTAGTTATAATAGCTTATTGCAGAAACATTTTGTTGGTGATATTATGTATCGATTCCATAACAAATAATACTACTCTTATATTTGCAATTATATGTTTATTTTTTTTCGTGTTGTACTAAACCATTTGTTTTGTCATTTCAGATTTTTTTTTTTATTTTTAGAAATCGTCCTTGATATTACAATTGTAAGTGAATCGGACACAGTTACAACGACCATTTAATCAGCCACATTATTATTTTCTGAGTCCTCCTTCAGTTGTCGAGCATGATAATGCAATTATTTCCGATTAAAAGCTTAAAAAGGCTATCAAATTTACATCACTAGCTATACAATTATTATATTACTATATTATTTACTAGCTGTAACCCGCGGGCTTTGCCCCGTTTAACTTCTTAATTTTCAAGATTATCTCGTTCGCATGGCTCAATCACGTCCTGGTTGAAGTTTGTTCGCTACGCTCACTCACCTTTAGGTTGGAGCTCGTTCGCTACGCTCACTCACCTTTAGGTTGGAGCTCGTTCGCTGCGCTCACTTGCCTTCAGGTTAGCTCGTTCGCTACGCTAACTCGCCTCCAGGTTGAAGTTCGTTCGCTACCCTCACTCACCTTTTGGTTGCAAATTAGCTGTTGTCATCGGGGCGCCCGTATTGCGCCAGAGAGTCCAGGTAGCAGGCCCGTACTGCGCCAGCACTATAATCTACCACCCAAAATCAGACCTGTACTGCGCCAGAGCGGCTTTTTCTTTGTAATAATAGTTCTGAGAGAAACTGCCCTATTAATGAGTCTGAGAGTTCATTTAGCGTTATATAAACACTCTGTGACTTATCCTACTAATATTATATAACTAAACTATTATATATCCTAATATATTATATAATATATATATAACAAAGTCGTTTTAGTTCAACAGTTTGTAACTTGAGACCGGCTGGATCGATTTTAATGATTTCTGATTTGTTGGATTCGAGCTTGATTCGAAGTTGATTTTTCAGAGCCAGATAATTAATTTAGTTTCCTCAATGCTGTTAGGCAACTTAGATTTCTTTTGGAACCCGAAAAGTTCCACTTATTAATTTATGCTAGGCCATGATGGTCATGGCTCTATTACATAGCAAAATCCCATTAGTTATTGGAAGAATTTGAACCTGGGACCTTGCGGACTAAAGCCCCGCGCTTTGCCACGATATCATCCCTCACATAAAGATATTCAGAGCGAATTAAACAAATCAGTAGGGAAATATTTTTTCCGTTAATTTCGCAACATATCTAAGCGTTTAAACTATTCAATAAATAGCTTAATTTTATCCAGCTTTTTTGTCTGATGGATCAGATTTTTCGAAAATTTACTAGCAACTGGCCTAATACTCAACTAGTCTTACTCAACTTAAAAATTTTAAAAAAATGGTAAAATTTGACTAATGCCACAACAAACCTTAAGAGGATTGAACCACTTCCCCTTCTACGCATTCTTTATTCTTTTAGTTATTGCATAAAAAATGCCCCCGGCGTAAATAAGACACAATTGACCGAAAGTCTACTTATAATAATTACATGTTAAATTCAGGCAAGATAGGAGAACCCTCATATATACTCTCTTGAGCACTAGGGTCTCACCAGTAAGGAATATTTTACTTTTCTATATTTGTTCACAAGTGTGCAGTTATCATAGTACCGCGTAGGTGTGTGTATGTTTTGCCTCTCAATTTATTCCAAATCCACCTCCTTATTTCACATTTGTATTAATCTCTTTACAAAAAATTTTCCTTAACGTCGTGACGACAATGTCTTTAGTTTTAAACACATCTATCTATCTATATATACAGGGTGTCCATAAAAAACGTTTCAGGACTTTGGGAAATGAATCCCCATACTAAAAGGAAGAAAAAAGTTTATGGGAAGGTATGTCCGAAAATGCATATTAACCCAGATATCTGCCATTTTGTTTTTTATACAAAAATATTTTTAACTGTGAAGTTTTTTATCCGATGATTATGAAATTTAGTAAACATGTTAACATAAACAATACCTATAATAGAAAAAATAACAAAGTTGATCCGATTGTAAATGTCAAAATGGCGGCCGTTTAATTTTTTCTAACTTAAATAACTCAAAAACGGCTAATTCTATGAAAAAAAGTCAAGAATACTTTTTATGAATTTTTAATTTTCTATTAAACAATACCAAGATCAAAAAGATCGGACAAAAGATAACTGAAATATAAGGTTTTTTGTGTAAAAATAAGGCAAAAAATAAGGGTTCCCCGACTAACTTTGCCTTATTTTTACACAAAAAACCTTATATTTCAGTTATCTTTTGTCCGATCTTTTTGATCTTGGTATCGTTTGATAGGAAATTAAAAATGCTAAAAAAAGTATTCTTGACATTTTTTTGTAAAATTAGCCGTTTTTGAGTTACTTAAGTTATAAAAATTCAAACGGCCGCCATTTTGAAATTTACAATCGGAAAACTTTTCTATTATAGGTCTTGTGTATGTTAACACATGTTTACCAAATTTCATAATCATCGGATAAAAAAACTTCACAGATAAAAATATGTTTGTATAAAAAACAAAATGGCGGATATCTGGGTTAATATGCATTTTCGGACATACCTTCCCATAAACTTTTTTCTTCCTTTTAGTATGGGGATTCATTTCCCAAAGTCCTGAAACGTTTTTTATGGACACCCTGTATAATTCTGTAAGACCAAATTTTTACCAGAAAATTGAGGACGTCTGGTAAGTCGCAGAAACGTGGGAGGGGCCTTAAATAAAAGGTCTTGACCCCAGGGACTCGGAAAAAATAGCAGAATCCCCATAAAGTTACCAGAAAACGAGATATAACGTAAAATATCCACCATAAGAAATGCATGGTGACTGAAAAACGTCTGCATTCTATCAGCTGTTACTTATTTATTTGCAATGTTTACATTTATTCCGAAAGTCAATGTTGGTAAATAATGTTTCAAAATGAATTGTGTTTAATTTTTTTTGTTTTCCGTTTTATAATGACTAATGAGTGAAGTAACTAGACAGGGTAGGGGAAGACTTGCAAGACGTGGAAGAGTGTCCAGGAATTCAACAGACTTAAGAAATGCCAAAGAGAACGTCATGTAGGGCCTAATTGTGAAAGAAATCCAGAAGCTGTTTTACAACCTGTCTTTAGAAGAACGCTGGAAAATGAGTTGAGTGTTGTTTCTCACAATCTATGTCCTCTTAAAGCACTTGCATGTATTGTGGCGCATTTAACTTCGCAGAGGAGGCCACAAATGGACATTTCAACGCATGTTGCCACAATGGACATGCCACAACCACAGTAAATGACGAACTAAAATAACTGTTTTTACATGATTCGAAAATAATAAAAACATAAGGCAATACAACAGTACAATGGCTTTTGCGTCGCTTTGCGCTACACAAAAAGAGATTCCGGGAAATGGGCCTTACTGTCAGGGACACCACTATTAAACTACTACACTAAAAAAATTAAACTATTAAACTACACTATCAAAGATTTATCATTGTTAGTCAACATTGCTCAGATTTTAGTTGTTGTTCTTGTTGTCTTGTCAAGTTCTCTCATTAAGTAGATTCTAAGCCCCTTTGCGTGTTTGGCTTGACCCTTAGTTATAGGAACATTGAGTAAGCATTATATAAAAAAATAATTGTAAATTGGTTTGTTTGGACCGTTGGAAGCAAAATAAAATAAAATAAACATTTTGTTGCATTTGTCGTGTTAAATATGTGTTGTAAAGTTTAAATTTACCATAGAAAAGCAACTCAAGTGTTATTAACATGCTTACTGGAAGGCGTTTGAAAATAGCATTATTAAAATACGAAACACAATTGTTACAATTTTAACTGCTGAAATGCAGGTCTAATGTAAACTTAATATAAATGCTGTAAATATATAAAACATCACAGACTATTATGGCATAGTCCAATGGTCTATTGGCTGTGATAACATTCAATATTGTATTTTTAGGCTACGCATGAATGGTTATGCAAGGAGGTAAAATTTGACTTCTGAAAGTTGTGTGAATGTTAATTCATTTAATACAATAATTATATCAGTATTATCTGTAATAAAATTGAGGATTAAAGTTAATGTAACTCACCTAAGGTTCAGTTCAGAAATGTGTTGCTTTCAAATTTACATTATTAGTCAAGTTTTCAACACTTCCATCGATGCTGCAGTTTTGGTGTGAATATTCTTAGCAACTCTCAACATACGTACACAAACATGAAATAATAAAAGTGTATTAGGGTTTACTCAAATTGAGAAAATGTTTCATTTCATATTTCTATAAATATATATATCTTCGTTTCTGTCAGTTTTAAGCTAATGCATATTAATTGAATCCTTATTGACCACATCAATCTTTAGATGGCAATTTGTAAGGGTAGCTAATTCCTAAACTAGCCGCCAGAGATATACCCCAATGCCATCTGGTGGTAAACCCCTGAACTATTGAAGGCCCAATGTAAACAAAGCAATATTTTGCATTGTGAGAGCTCTGTTTTATACAAGTTATACAATTTAAACAAACTTCTGCTATCGTTTATATAAATTTTAAAAGCTACTTAACTTTTTACTATTATATTTATTAAACTCATAAGAAGTTTTTTTTACTAAAATACATAAAATGTAAGTAATTGCATTTGCCTCTCGCAGGGATGTAAGTGAATTAATACATCCATATGAGAGTATGGATAACATTGCTGTGTCCATTCCATTGGTGTGATCGTGGTATCACAAGTGTCAAAAGTATCTTTGCCAAGCTGTGACTCGACTCGAGGAGCGGCTTAAAATTCATAATGATAATTTAGAGAAAATAACATAATATACCGTACGTGTATACTAACTCCTCCAGTCTCTAGTCCAATCCCACTCCTGCGTTAAATCTGAGACAAATCATATTTTATTTTAATTTCTGACGTTTATTTTAGCATTTAAATTTAGTAATCTTTTTCAACAA